ACTTTATGAGATGACAAACAAAGATGCAGATATGAAAAAGATTAGTTGTCAATAAATTATATTGATGGATAATCTTGAGAAAGAATTATTCCCATTGGCGATCAATGCATTCAATCATAAGTAAACTGTCATAGCATCTCAAGCATGTGTTTTCTCAATTTCATCATTGGAGTCATTTGCTAGGGGTGAAATTGTTTTGGAAATGGAAGACGATCTCAAGGATTTGAATAATTTTCTTGGTAATGACAATCATATGGTCACATCTTTAAAGGGAAGGTACTAGTTATGTCTAATTTATTATATTAATTAGGTTAGAATTAACGTTATTTATTTTAGTTCTTATTTACTAGTGCTTTATATCAATTCATCAATGGTCGGGAACTTCTGAATGTTGTGCAACTAAATATGACATTGACAATGTTAACTTTATACAACATAGAATTTTTCATGACTTTTAAAATTGTTTTCTTTAAAAAATAACTATTTGTTGCTTCATGCATCTCCTGCAGGCTATGAATTATCATTTGAAAATCGATCCGCCGCAATTTTTTTGGAGTATCAATCAACATCGTTATGTTTTCATCTAATGTAAGCTTGTAGTAATGCGGTTATTACTTTTAAGATTAAATGAACTTCTCAGAATAAATATTTTTTGGTGCATTAAGATTTGTTTCAAACACAAATGAATTGGCATATGGTAGTTTGATAATTTAAATCTCTTATATAAGATAAGTTAATCAATGGACATAGTGACTTCTCATCAATAAGAAATGCACAAAAACCTAATCTCGGAATTGACAAGAATCTTACAACAGTGTCAGCAGGGTTAATGTCGTAGGAATATTAAATCTCGTATAATTTTGCATATGATTTTGAAAAAAATCTTGCATGAAACATATAATTTAATGGTTTATACTTGTACGACAAGATGCTTACAAACCCATGTATAGGAATTACCAGAAGGCTCCTGATTCATGGTTGAATTATTAATATCTATCAATATAATTCCCAACTGTGGAAAGAAATACTTCATTTTTTGACTTGGCTGCATTTGATCGTATTATAATTTTAGTTTGTTACATGGCAAGTAATTCATAAATTAATTAATGAAACTGAATAATATTTTAGGAGGAGATTAAGCGCGAAGCCACCATTAAATTAGTTATTAATCTAGAGTTGCTGTATTATTATGATTATTTATTAACATATAATATATATTTCATTTTAAATTTTATTTAATGATAATTAAAATATAACTCATAATATTTATATTTCTCACTTAAGAGTAGACAAATTACAAAAACGGCAAAACCATACTGGACCTCAAGCCCGGAGAAAAATGGCCCAATGGGTTGATGATACCCATGTTTAAGGTTTTATTTTTTTCTGACATGGAATGGTTCGGTCACCAGCTATTATACAGAATTTCGAGGCGGTGACCCCAACTGTTGAGGGAAAGAAACGACATCGTACAGGGTTGATACTATTATCCTCGAATCTGCAAACTGACTCTTGATTTCTGAACTCTCAAACAAATCCTATGTTGGGTTCTTTCTTTCGAAAGCTCGAGAGTTGAAAAACAAACCTCCTTCCTCTTAGCAAAACAGGAAATAAGCTCGGAATAGCCCGGCAATAACACGGCTCTGTCTGTCTCTCTCTTATCATTCGAATTTCTTCTTTTTTCTTTCCTTTCCTCGGCAAGATTTTTTTAGCTGCCCAGAACTTTGTGCCACTTCTTCGTTTTCAATGGTAAAGTCATTCTCGATCTGATTTACTCTAGATATGTATACTTTTTTTTTTTTTTTTTTTTTTCTTTCTATCAACATAAATAATCGTCATTAATTATATTAACAATTACTGTTAATCATTTGTAGATGAGTTAAGTTGGCCCTTACTTTTAACAAGCGATCTGATTTTGTTGACGACTGGTAATGGGTGTTTTTAATTATGTAGTCATCCTGTTTAGTGTTGGGTTTTGTGTAGATTGGAATTTGGTGGTTTAGACAGGCAGTAGTTTTGATAGTGGTGGGGATTATATGGAGAATGCAAGGAGCCACGGGAATTAGATTCGTGATGGAGAAAGAAGAATGCTTCTCTTATAAAGTGGAATACGAAGGGGACACACTTCACATCTCTTTCGTCGTCATTAAATCTGATTCTCCATGGCATTTCAGCGAGGATGGAGTCGATCTCGTGGTATGTTCTGTTTATTCCTTAATCACTTGACTATGTTTAAGGAGTTTTTGTTTATGGAGGCATATTCATTCATCAATTGTTAGTTTGTTTATTGATTAGATGAAATGATGGATTGTTAAAGTGCCCAAATTTGTTTTAGAATAGAGAAAAATGAAAAAACGGTAGGTGCTTTGCTTAAATAGTAGAAGCTGGAAATTATTGATGGTTGTAGCTATGGCCACTAGAAATGGGAAATTTTATGTGCACATGGTGAGGAATCCTTTTTACCATCATTATGGCACTGTAGGTATTGGAACTTGTCTTTTTGATCCAGTGGCTTCTGCAAATTTGAAATCTGTATTCCTTCATTCTGAGTTACCATTTACTTGTCTTTTTCTGGTCAACTCACTATAATCCGAAAGATGTTAATAACTCCATAGATCTCCTGCCAGCAGCCATGTTTACCTTTGATGAACATATTTGGAGTTTTTTATTTCTTTAATTTGTTTTTTCTTGAACTGATACCATAGGAATAATTTACATGCTAAATTAAGCTCTGATGTATGAGTTACATGTACTCTTAGCTATCTTATAAAAAATTAAAAGAACATAATGAGTCATTCATAGTTTCTTCTTTCATTGATGAATTCATCGTTAATCTAACAACTTCATTTCATATTTCTTAGATAAAGGGCCCTTCTGGTGAACACATTCATGATTTTCATGATAAGATCAGCCAGAAATTTGAGTTTGTGGTCCAAAACAAAGGGCTTTACCGCTTCTGCTTCACTAACAAGTCTCTTTATACTGAGACCATTGATTTTGATGTACATGTTGGACACTTTGCTTACTACGATCAACACGCAAAAGATGGTGAGACATGGTTTATCTAGGTCACAAAAATCGACATCCTTCTCTTCCATTTACCTATGTTTTTCCTCTTAATTAAGTAATCATTGAACTTTTTGAATTTTCACAGAGCATTTCAGTCCCCTGTTGACTCAGATAGAAAAGTTGGAAGAGGCTCTTTACAACATCCAGTTTGAGCAGCACTGGCTAGAGGCTCAGACTGACCGCCAGGCAATAGGTAAATATTTGAAGAGCTTATTTTCATTTCAACATTTATCAAGTTTCATTCTCTTACAGGATCTCTATTTTATTTCCCTGAAACTCTTGGTTGTAT